AAAAAAAAAAAAAAAAATGAAACCAGACCAAAGCATGCTAACAGTGCATAACTTTATAACCCGGCCACCGCAGTTAATGAAGCAAGGTAAAGAACCCAGTATCAGGCTAGTTCAGTCCTCAGACCAATATGTCACTTGTCAAAGCTGAGAAGGTTTTTTTTTGTTTGTTTTTTTGTTTTTTTTTTTGTTAGTCAGACGTGTAGGTGTATGAGAAGCTGTTATTCAATGCACAACAGACTTAAATACACCCAGTATTCCAAAAGGTCAGGTCGAAGGATTACAATTGTTCTGATGGCACACAAATCTGAACCGCTGCTTTTGTTAGGAATCCTGGCGTCTTTAAAAGGTAATCCAAGCAAGGTAGGATGTATTCTAAGTCCATGTGTCTCATTTATAGTATCTGACCTGCTTCAATAAATAGCACACAGTGAGGTATCACCCTGTGCACTCGTGTAGTAGGAAACCACAAGTAAACAAGTCATGAAAAAAAATGGATACATCTAGTCTAAACCACCCAATCACTCTTTGTCTTTTGTAGCTTGGGGGAAAAAATACCCACTGATATATTGACATGCAAAATACAGCAATATCAAAGAGACAGGGTAGATGTGTCCTGGACCTTCGCCCCCCCACCCTTCTCATCAAGCACGGGATAATCTGAGGGTCGGAGCCGAATCTGTGCTCCATGTATCCGATCATTCCCAATGCTCGCTTAGTAATTATCAGCCTCAATGGCAATCAGAAAAAATCTAAGTGTGTGCAATTTGACAGCAAAACACACCGCAACGCCTACGGGTAAAACAGGGGGGCATCGTTTTAAAATGGCCCAAAAAAAAAAAAAAAAGATTGACACATTCAATCTTGCATTTCATGGCGATATTCTGAAGCAATCCTTTTGCAAAGTCGAGTGTGCAGTATGTATTCCTGAGTTTGCTTCTCCAGAGAATGCAGGGGTGGGCTCGACAATGTGACCAGAATGAAGTGATTAGTACGTTACCAATGCGCATCACAACAGCTAACAACCATGCCAATGATCCATAGTCAAGTTGAGATTTTGCTTGTGGTGAAACAAGAAAAAAAAAAAAAAAAGGAGGCCGTCATATTCTGCAAGCCCAAACGAAAAGTCCGACGTGCCGAACGTGAACGAGCAGTAATATTTTATACCCATTTCTACCTGTTGTGACTGAGGTTAGTATCACTGAGGAAATTCTAAATCAACTCAAAAAATGAGGAATGACTGTATGAAATAGCATAACTAAGCTTTCTACGCTGATTATCAGGACAATATACTTAAAACAATGCAAGTAACCACACAACAGAACACCCACAACAAACGTGTAACTGCATTAATTGGAATGCTCCACACAGTTTTCTGCATATTATTCACATTACATCAAAGCCTCAGCACGCTGAGGGGGTACAGCAGTGCCGAGAGTGGTCATGAATAGTAACCAAAGAGGTGGATATGGGAAGAGCCGAGTCTATCCTGTGGCAAATCTGAACAAATATTTATCGAACCTGAACAAATATTCTGGAAAAATGGAACAGACTCCAGTTGGTCTCCCCAGGTGTGAAGCTAGAAGGTATATGGTCAAGACTATTGCTGTGAATTTGTAACTCTGGCTGCATTTTAAAACAGCCATGAGGTCAAGGAAAAGTCAGAAGGTAAAGGTCACTTTTTTTTTTTTTTTTCTCTTCTTCCCCAGACTGAAAAATTGGCAAAGTAGTCAGGATGTGAACCAGCTACAAGAACTAAGCAGGTGACTACGCTGTTAAGCTGTTAAGACTAATTTTCTTTAAAATTCAACAAGACTGTGTCTTCGCTGCATAGCCTTACTGAGGTTCATCTGGTTTGAGTGATTAGATATGAATAGACACAGCTGTGCCTGTCATTATTGTTACGGCCATTGTAGTTAGGAAGTGCTTGAAAATGAGGGGAATGGTGCTGTCACTGTTGCCAATAACATAAAGTTTACAAATCAATATAAAAAAAAAACAAAAGAACAAAACTGCAGTAGTCATTAAGCTTACATAAGAACATGGTGTACTTTTGTTTCCTTCTGCAAGAGTATCCATGAAGCAACTTTTTCTTATTCTAAATGGGTCTTGAGAAGTTGCAGTGCCCCTGCAGTTAATAGTCAAGGGTATATAGTAATACAGTCTCTGCCCAGTCAAAGACCCAGACAAGGTTACATTATAAACAATTAAATCCTTTTGCAGAAATACAAATTTACATGTTTACACGTGGAGTTAAAATCAACTACATTACAGTGTGATCCAATCCAAACACGCCCCTGCTTTGCCTGATCATGTTTGTTATGTTGCCAGACTAGCCACAAACCAAACCTCTCCTGCAGGGAGTGGTCCAGCTGCTGGTTGTGATGATGCCAGTGGTGTCCAAGTTTGGAGCTCAGCAGGATGCTGTTCTTCATTATGGGCTGTCCCACCCATGCTGCACAAAGTCTCTTCCTCCCCACCTCAGGGCTTCAAGCTTTAAAAGACAAGAGGTTGGGAAAGCAAACTAGCCTCAGAAGCATGTTATTCCAGAGGAGGGGTCTTGGCATTATAAAGATAATACATGAGCACAATATTATAGAGGCCATCCATTGAGAGAAAAGGCGGCGGTTCTTCCCACCACCAGCATTTAAATGTCCTTCCCAGCTACCACTGCGTCGTTTCAGGGAATGTCGCATGCCATTCTCAGAATCCAAACAGTGGCCAGAGAGGCAGTGTGTGGCAGCTGGAGCTTCAGACTGCCACTGCTGGAGGATAAAAGCCATGCCGCACCTTTCAACTCACAGCCAGCAAGTAACCTTGGCATGCTCAACGCCAAAACCGAATGGTGAGTTCGCGCGATATTTAGTCCACTGATTTCCTGGAGGATGGGGTGAATGTCGCAACAGGGGGGGAAAAAAAAAAAAAATCAAAAATCGAAAAAAAAAATAAATCATATTGCATCAGACAATAGATGTACAGAGAGATAAATATCTGAAGAGAGGACACCCTTGCGAGTAGCTCATGAGCTTGGATGTAAATTTTCAGGCAGGGGTGATTGTGTCTGTGTTTATGTGCTAGTTTTTGGGTGGTCACTGAATGAGGAATTTGGTTTGGAGTTTAAACTGTCATGTAGAGAGCAAAATAGTTTGCAGGATAAAAACAATATTGGTCGCAAGGAAAAGGAGGGAGGGGAAAAAAAAAAATCTAAGACATGTGGTCCCAGTGCAGGAAAGGCAACAGTCTGTATTAGCCATCCTCCTTGGGGGGTGTGTACCAGCCTAAGAAAAAAAAAACAAACAAAGCACAGAAAGACACAATGACTACAGGGTAATAATACAAAAAAAACACTACCAATAACCAATCCCACAACTATTTTCCATGTGCACTGTTTTTCTGCCTCACTGGCTTGTATCTGCAATTCCCATCATGTGTGGTTAGCGCAAGAATTAAAAACACCAGACTAACAAGGGTTCAGTGGTTGGATTCAGGACACATCTGGTTCAGGATGGCTTTCAGCTCTTAACGTTTCGGCTCTACTGCTATTAAATACAGCTGTATGTAGCCTGGCAGGGCGCGAGCAATTTACATATTTTCACCTCTACTTTTGCATGTAGTGTAGCGCTTCACAGATGTCAAGGGCAGCACACTTTGCATTCATGGCCATCCTTCTCCGATAAAAATCCAAATCCAACTTTAAAAAAAACTGTCATTTCTATTGACAATTACATGTTAAACTGCATTTTAGTATTAGGCTGTGTGTATTTGATTCTTATATGCTTGAAAACAGCTGAATATCACTTATGATTCAAAGTCACAAACCATGAAAAGACGAACATTAATCAGAGGACCCAAACATAAGGATAAAGTCTGTTCATAATTCAAATAGGTTCTAAGATTATTATTTAGGATTGACATGAGTGGATAGTTGGCATATCTATGCACATGCTCTCCTCACAGCCACAGTTTTATATATTGTATATCACTTATTGGGCTCTGATGGAAGTACGTATTAAAGCAATACCAGCACTTAATAACACCAAGTTGTTACACTCTTCATCTGACTTATTCAAGGAGAGGAGATTCTATGAACCTTATTTTTCGTGGAAGGTCATTCGAAGGTGTCGTGCACTACAGTTGACAGCCCCAAAAGCTATTGTTTAAGCATGAATCGAGTGTTTAATGACTGTATCACAAGCACATTGTACTTGCAGTTTATATCTGCACTGCCGTTGTCTATATTCTGCAAGCATTTATCCATAAAACAAGTGTATCAGTTCTATAACTTGATTTTAGCAACTACATATGTGCAACTGTCGTCCACGTTTGGTACCTACACAACAGTCCAGGCACAAATATTCCACAGCTTTGATATACAGGAGGGATTTGGTTTCAGTAAACAAGGTCAGTAATGCACCCCGTATGAAACTGGAGACAAAAACACTCACCGTTCTTTTCATGGATCTGAACCAGGGATTTGTAGGACTGCTGTGCTCTGGCAAGATTGTACTGGTTCTGCAATAAAACATGAAAATGAAGTCAACCTTCCGAGTATTTACTGGCTTTAGGATGACAGTGCAGAAAAAGGACCAGTAATGACAGCTGTTGTCTACGAGCAGAAAGAAAAGATTATCTTGCGGAGCTCCGATTTCAGCGGCAAACCTCTGTGTAGGGTTTAGGATAATGAACACACATTCTCAGCCTTGTTTGTCCATTCATACCCGACTGCTTTCACACACACACACACACATGCCTCGTCATCAACTTTCACATGAGACCTGGCTCTGCACCTGTAATTCCCCACACACACCGCTGCTGCACCAGAATGACATATGACTTTGTACAAATCCATATGGCAGCGCTTCACTGAAGAGTGCACCAAGTCTCAGTAATGTCATTCAAGAATTCAACATTTCACAGCTACAAAGACATAACGTCGAAAATTACAGCCATTCCAGCCGTCAAATAAAATTCCACCGCATCGCAGTGCAAAGCCGATAGCAGAGCATTGTGGCTTTACTGTGACAGGGTTTGGTACTCAGACCCAGCATGTCTTTACTAAGCATAAATATACATCTACATATACAGAAGTCCACAAAATTAGCTAGCAAACAACAAATGCTGGGCTTTATTTTTCTCTTTTTTAGTCACTTGGTGCCACTGAACAGCAGCTACCATGGACCACAGCTCTTAGCTGTAATTTAGGCTAAATTTATAGGCTTACAGTCAGTCGGTTTACATTTTTTCACACTTTCTTACCTACAGTACACCAATTTAGGAACAAAAGTAGGACAAACACTACTGATTCTTGCTGTATGTTCAGAACTTCAAGCATATTTTTGTGCATCAAACCCATTTTCTCACAAGTATTTAATAATATGTATGAACACATCATGTATGGCTCCTGAGGCAGTGAAGCTGGTCTGTTTCTGTGCTGCTCTCATGGTGAAAGCAACAAGTTCACCCAAAGTGACGTGATTAACCCTGGTTGAGACGGGTTATGACACTGGCTTGTATAATATGTGTTGACCTACTCACACTGACAAGCAACCAGTGGTTTACCCCAGGTCAAACCTGAAAGTGGTATTAAGGACCATTAACTAATCTGCATCAAAGCAGAACAACAAAATGGGATTTAGAGCTAAGAGACAAAGTTTCTGAGAAGGACGGAAAAAGATTTGTTTTCTTGGTACTTAAGTAATCAAACTCAAAGCAATATAGAAATCCTACTAGACAACATAAAAAGAACATAATGAGCAGTAACTGAAAATTCAAGTGCTGTCACTCAAAAGAGGAGAAGCATACACTTTACAATTCAGTTCAATTCATTAAACTTTATGTGGCCCATATCAGAGGCACTGCACTGCACATTCCACTCCGGTCCAATTTGATGAAAAATATACCACAAAGCCAACTCTGACTGCAGAAACAAGAGACTGTCGCATAGGCCACCATCAAGCACCATAGAAACCTCTGCCTGTGTAAAAGCCCCATCAGTGTGGTCGACATCATTTATCATGGGTGGCCGACATTATATCACAGACTTGAAATCAAACCTCCTCACTTACTTTATTGGCTCCAAACTGCACTCTGGCTTTTCCTTTGACTAAAGTGGCATTGATTTGCATGATGACAGACTCAATGGAATAGGCACTGCTCCAACCCTGCAATCAGGAAACCCGATGTCAATAAGATTTTGAAAATGTAAACAGATGTACTGAAAAGCAAAAAATAACAAAAAAAACAAACAACTGAAAGTAATATTTATTATCATTTGACTTAAATTTACATTGCTGGTATGTAAAAATACACGCAGCATACCTGTTTGGTGAGAAGTTCCATGCACAGCGCGCCTCCTCCAAGAACATAACTAAAGCACGAAAATGAAAGCATATCAAAGAAAGGGTTATTTCTTCTAAAAGCAAATAATCTAAACACCACCTCAGTCTCAGCTTGGTAATAGTAACTATGGATGGAAGAATCTGCAAAAAGTGTACTAAATAAATGAACTCACCCTCCAGAAAGCACGGGCGAAACTACCCGGACAAACGGCGGATCAAAGGGGAAATTATCCTGCAAGAGGCAACCAGCAAAAATGCTTCATTTACAGACTTCAAAGACTCTCAAACTGCGTTTCGTTTTTATTAATGCAAAGCCAATTTTACTCACTTTATATGAGAAGTTTAACAAAATGTAATCCATCCCTTCCTTTTCTTTCAGGACTTGTAAATCGCTGTGTAAAGGGCTATCTGGATCCACCCTGTTGGATCATTAGAACATGCAATCAGTCTGTGTTTATGCCGACAGAGAGCAAGAACTTAATACATGATACAGGATCCTAAAGTTACTTACGTCCTTAGTTTGACGTGCCATTCATACAGGCTATCATTGACAAGCTCGACTGAATAGATGCCTGCAAAAGAAATTGATTAAATGAGTCCTCAGACATCTTCCAAGGTCTAGTACCAACAGTAGTGATTTAATCCCCCCCGTTCATTCTATAAACTAGACATTGACACAGTGAGGCACAGCATTAAATGTATTTTGATGGACACGCTCTCAGTCATATCCCTTTCAGCTAATACCGCAATAGGATAGGGAATTTCTACACAGTGAGGGACTTTGAGGTGACTCTCTGCTGAGTCAAAAAAATGTTTTCCTTAAGCATTGAACAAATATCCTTTTTCTTTTGTTAAGCTGCTGTGGAAAGTGTGTCAATGTGCTTATGGAGATTACTAAAGCATACAATAGACGTCTTCAAATAACAGTAATGGGTGTAGTAACCTACAGTGCAGCCACCACACCCACATGAGGGTGGCGCTAACCCAACAAGGACAAGACGGAAAGCTTTAGGTACATTCAAATTTTACACAACTAAACTCATTCTCAGATTCTTTCCTCTGACCATGTGAATGTCATGTCTCTCATACTGCAATGCTTCATGATATAATGCCCATCTCTCATCACAAAAGGACAGAATCCACGATTTCAGTGTGTGTGGTTTGGTATCGATGCGCATATGGAGTTTTTTTTCACTCAAGATTTGCAACAAAAAAAACAAAACAGACCTTTGTGGAGTGTGCGTACCTGTCTTGTAACTCTGAGACCTGTAGATCTCTCTAAGCTCCTTCATGAGGCGGTCAGAGGCTTGGACTGAACCAGACACAGCTCCCTGGAAAATATAAAACAATTGCTAGAATAATGAAGACATGGAACACAGTGCTTTGCAGTTTACCATAGGGGCAAACCTGTCGTTTGTACTTACTGTGGCCAAACATCAAAGACAAAGCTTGATGCTACTAGACGTTAATATTTATATCAGTAAACCCCGAGAGAGAATGTTTCACTGATCTTCAAATTATTTAAATAAGTAAAATAAGTGCATGAAAAGAATGTGATTTTGGTGCCATTGTTACAAGGATATAATTGTATTTGACACATTTCAGATGCCAGGACAGATGCACAGCTGAGCCACGGAGCAGGATGATGAGGAACCTGAGAGTCTTTTCCGAGAAAAAACACAAATCTTTTCACAAGTTTATGCTGCCTTGAAGGGCATACGCTGAGAGAAATCTGAAGCTGTGCTGCATACTGCATAGAAGCACATTGAGAAACAAGTCACACTGCCCGTTGTCAGATACTATATATGTTTTAAATGTCTCATTCCTGTCTTGTTTTTCAGCTTTCTTTTTCAATACCGATCTTTAATTGTCATTAACAAGATTGCTGCTGACAATATTAGCATACATAAATGCTGCATGGAATCAAGGTAGACTCCAAAAACATCTATCGAGGTGTGATGTTGGATCCCAGATAAAAAAATAGCAAATAGTCCCTTCGTTGAATAAGGACTTACATTTAAGTGGTCCTGTCGCTGGTTCTTTCGGATCTTCTCCAGAATCGCCAGATTTTCTTTCTCGATCCCGTCATCCTCAGATTTCTTCCCGTCCACAGGCTCCTCCTCTTTCATTTCATAGTGGTCCAGATCCTCAATGTCCTGTTCATTCATATTTGATATTTTCACCATTTTTAATAATGCATGGTTCTCCAGCAGTATGTCCAACAAAACAAACAGGTCTGTGATCAAGGCCAGTGCCAAGCCAAAAAATAATACAACTTTTGGTTCACTGGAACAAAATTGATTGTTTTATTGTCAAAATGCAGGTTGAAACTATCATAATCAAGACAATATTCATGTGTACATGGGAAGGATGGAGAGAGAATAGCTCAAACATCAACATTTCTCAAACTACAGAATAGAAAAAACAATGAACAGCCTAAACTGTGTGACTAAGATAGTAAGAAAATAGGGAAGTCTGTGTCATCACTATGCACACACCACACATCCACACTGCATGAGCACTGCATTAGGTATTTAAACCAAAGATGATAACTTACTTCTCCCATTTCCTCCTCCTCTTCTTCTTCAGATGTAACCTCCTCCGTTCCATGCTATACACAAACACAGACAAGGCTTTAAAAGTCAGGCTGGATGAAGTAGACTGCAACAGACCTGCTGAGCTGACCCGCCCATATATTTTACGGAGACCACGTTTTACTGACCGGAACTACAGAAAGAGTCTATTGATCAGCTTAGGCCAGCTTCATATAACTCACCAGAGCTCCCTGTAATGTAGACTGCTGTTTCATACCAAAGTTCAAGCAGTTTGAAAGTAAACAATAAAACAAGCTAATCTAAATGAGCATGGCATAGTCATTAAAAGTTATCAAATCACGATGAGTGTCCTGACTGTACCATGCCATTAGGAGGTATTTGACGAGCGTATTTTAGGCAGACTTGCCTTTCGGTCTTGTCCCACAGGGCCTGCTGGTAGGGGCTGATCAAGCATCTCCACATCGGGATGCTGGGGAAGGTTGTACAGCCGACAAAGGTCGCAAATGAGTTTCTTCAACTGCTGCAACAGCTAGACAAGACAAACCACAATGACAAAGGGACACAGAATTACCGAAGCCATTCAAGTTTGCGAGTGCAGCTACAGAGCAATGCAACATGGCAGAAAATGAACATGTATGTATTTCATTCATATTTTGTGACAATCATATGTTCCTCGATGAAAATGGTGGGATTTGTGTGAAATACATGACCAGGAATATTTATGCCAGTCTTTATGCAGAGTTGCAGGACATTCAAATTGCAACTGTGGAACAATCTAACATTGTGCAGTGTAGCACAAAATCTAGGACTAATTATTCACATATGACTTGACACAAAGTTAGAACTTAACAAATAAGACTCACTAGAAGTACTGCAAATAAACATAAAGACTAAAATCCATTGCACTTGTGTAAAAAGAGATGGGTGAGTCATTAAGTTGCCATCAGCTTGTGTGTTTTGCTTTTGCAAATCTGATGCAATTTAAATATAGGCTACCACGCAAGCATCTACGCAACAGTAAAGGGGGGGAAAAAAAAACTCTGATCTTATCTATCCACAAAAGGCAACAAACACAACTGACACAACTTAAAAAAAAGGATGTATTCTTTATCTGAATTTAGACTAAGTTGTGGTGCAAACAAAACCTTCAGCTCAAAAAAAAAAAGAAAAAAAAAAAAGAAAACCCTGACAGCACTTCTATAAAAAGCATATTTTGAGTCCTACAAGCAGAGCATGCCGCATGAATAAGTAGGCTAACTAAGCCCAGGATGTCACCTCATACCTGGGATTACACAGGAGCTGGTGCTCACAAATATTTTGACCTCAAACGGTGTCCCAATGATCTAATGACACGGCCATTTGGCCTGCTGAAAACCTGCTTCTTGACATGCTCATCACATACCATAAGACCGAAAGGCACACACATTGATGCAGCACATGCAAGAGGCTTAGCCCATATACAACATGAAATGAGCTCCTGGTTGTGTAAAAATCTCTAACATAACATCACAATTGAAAAACTGCATTACTGGGCAGTTTGTTTAACCAGTCCAAATCCTGCCATAGTGATGCAAAAAATGTTGAGCACTTGTCCAGTCTACAATCCTAAAATAAAACCCAGACACTTAAGTGTACAATTATTAACCTCCGTCCGATGAAGCTCAACACAGCAAGCTGGCATTATGTCACTATAAGAGGCAGCCTGGTCAATACGTGCTCAGTGTAAAGTCTTGTCCTTTATATGCATACCTCAGGCATATTAGGAAAGCATTTTGCCTGAAGCTGCATCAGCTCTTACTTGAGATACACATCATACATTAAGGAATAGTCAGCTGAGCACAGGAATTAACTGTTCAATGTTAATTAGTATTAGCTTTTAGCCACCTGCTGTATCACAACCTGTCTTGTGTCAGATGTGTCACACGCTGCCTTGTAGTAAGCATTCACACGCAACACCTCACCTTATATAAGCCGAGCGTGCAGCCACTATTTTGAATGACAAAAGCTTTAAGGCAAACCTTTATTGTGCTTAATACAAACTGTCAGCGACTCCTCACAATATGTACATAATCAAAAAAAAAAAAAAAGCAGGGAAGGTTAACTACCAGGGTGCTGCCTTTTCTCACATCCTCCAGCCTCTCCAAAACTTGCGCCAAGCTCGGGTCGTCAGAGTCCACAAACCATATTGGCGGCGTAGATGGATAAGACTCCTGTAGACAGGGCAACACAACAAAAACAGAACATTTGCATTAATACATTTGACCTACATTCGCATTCCATATGCCGCAGCATTGGACAGAGTCAATAAAAACGTAAAATCTGAGTTGACGACATTAGCATTCAGGATGCATCGTTAGCTAAAAGCTAAGATTGCTTATCAACACAGATTAATGTCGTCTTGTCCGTTCAATTAAGCCCCACCGAGAGTGCGTAGCTCCCACTGACACTTGCTAATGAAACTACGCCAAACCTGTCCCGTATAGCATCAGATTATACAGATGTGGGGGTAGCTTGCTACCTGGCTAGCAAGTTAACCGGCTAACTTTAGCTCGCTAACGACCAACAAGGGGAAGTGTGTAACTAGCTAAACCCCGGCACTTGTGTTCTTGTCCACTTACCGTTATGTTACAGTGGATAATTAACAACTTTTCCCCAGTTACGTTAAACTGACAGCTCAGCTCGTCAGGCTTCCAGTCAATTATCCTGAATCGTTCGTGGTTTGGATCAAAAATGGACTCCAAAAACTTCAGTTCGGCCTTCAGCCCCGACACCGACATCTTCCACGCATCTCCGGCTGGGCCGCTGGGGAGGGGGAGAAGTCGGGACTTAGCTTGTAGCTAGCTAAAGCAACTGCGTAAATTTTAGTACAAAAACGGTTTTAAAAAGTGACAAAGAAACGACGAACCGCCCCGGTAGATGTAGCTGGGTACCCAGTGCCAGCTACGAGCCGCGTCCGGTCAAAATTCACCGCAGCCGGACTGATTTGCTAATGAAGCAGCTAAAGGCTAGCTAGCCGTCAGTTAGCGTTTGAAAACAGCGCAGTGCTTTGGCAAGCTGCTAGCGAGCTAGTCCGTTGTTGTTGTCTTTCCGTCTATTGTTGTTGTCTGCCTATGGTAACAACATTTTAAGGCTTTCGCGGTGTCCCGTGACCGTCTCCTCACCGTCCCATCGCACAGTTCTTTATTATTGACTCAACCGGGAAACAATCATACAATGTCCACGATCTGACCTAATATCCCGCTATAGGGATAGTGTTTTTCATCCCGGTGCACAACTGTAGCTGGCCTCTTGTGGGGTTTAAAGATGGCGTTCTGCAATCTCCCCGTTCCCGCAGAATCCCAGCATTCAGCGCGTTCTCAATTTATTTCATGGTAAGAAAATAAAGAAAAAGTTTATCGCTGTGAATTATTTAGTCAAACATTTATGTGAGGCTAATAGCTGTATTGTGGATTTAATTTATTTGCGAGGAAAAATAATCAGTTGACATAATGCTTCCCAGAGTACAAAATAGATGCACAGAACTTAAATATAATTGGTCCTTTCAAGTCAATTAATTTGCTTTGGAGCCACAAAGATGACTAAAACAAGTGAGGTTATATTTGAAGCAATATCTGTCATAAATAGTACTTTTGCATTGTACATTAATATGATCTAGTCAAGCACATACTTCAAATTTTTTATTTCCTTGGGATGGGATATCCACTACTGCAATGTAACTAAGTACTTCTACATCAAGTACTCTCTTGTGCTTTACTTGTTAACTCTGTTTGCAGCCCCAGGGTCAACATCACAGTCACTGTTTTTGGTCCACCACTCACGCCTTACAGCCAAAGGCGACGGCTTTTAAGGTTACCGTACCCAGGCTCTGGAACCGGCTCCCATTACACATTAAATCCTGCACAAGAGTTGGCATTTTTATATGAAAATTAAGGTCACAACCTTTTGCCTCACCTTTTAGTTCTTCCTGAAGCTGCTGTAGTAATGTCAGCTCTTAGTTTCTTTTATCCCTCTGCTGATTTGTATTGATCGGTTGTCTAATTTTGCTCAGTTTTCTCTCTTACTCTTTGACTTTATAGTTCCAATTCTTCTGTTATCAAACCATTATGCTTCACCTTAGTATTCTTGCTCATATAGTTGTCATCATATATGTGTACACTCAAGTTTACTGTGATTCTTGTCACTTCCTGCATGCATTTCTCTACACTACTGCACATTATTCATTTTGTGTTGTCTCTCCCCTGTAGGTTTTGCTTCTTGTACATCGCTGCAGGTTTTTCTGGATCAGGAGCTGCATGAATCTGATCTGCAGAAAGTCGTCCCACTAACTTCCAGTGTTTTCTTGTTCTTTGTCTGTTTGTCTCCGGTTTGTTTTCGTCCGCTCCTTTTACCCTCACCCAACCGGTCGAGGCACATATCTGCTCTCACTGAATCTGGCTTTAATGGAGTTGTCTTCCTGTTTGAAGGTAGTTTTCCTCTTCACTGTTTCCAGTACGATTGCTTATAAGGAATCTTTGGATTGGTTGGGTTTTCCGTGTATTATTTTGTCGAGTCTTAACCTTCCATTAGTCAGGTCATTTGTTAGAGTATATACTATTGTAGGCTCTTACACTTAGGTTAATCTGTAGTTTATATAATACAGTTGGGTCTTAACCTTTATGTTTAAATTAGCCAAGTCAATTTACATAATTAATTATACAGCAGTGTCATGACCCCTAATGCTTATTTTATTCAGATACATTTAAATTGCATATAATATTGTGGAGTATTAACCACATTATTTAAATTCCTCAGGTAAATTTACACAATGAAAATACTGGAGGGACTTAACCTTCATAATTAAACTTGTTAGGAAAAATTGTAAAGTCATTCTTATTTCTCTGCTGTAAAGCACTTTGACTTCGGCACTGCTATATTTTATTACTTTATATTTTTACATTTCAAAGGGAAATACGGTAGATTTTATTCTGATGCTGATAAATTATGATTTCCGCATGCAATGTATGAGATGCTTATGAAATGCCATTTATCTCTTTGCTATAGATTCTATTGTATGTCGAAGTCAAGCTGAAACGATTGATCGATTAGATGAAGACTCAATTAGAATTTTTTTTGCGAGTTTTTGTTTTAGCATTTTTCATGTAACAATGCCAGCATCTCATGGCTCAGCTTTTTAAATTTGTAGATTTGCTTTGAGCTTTATGACTATTTTCTAAATTTCTACAAACCAAATACTTGCTTAAGTAGGTCAATATTCAGTAAATTAATCAACAATGATGAAAAACATCATCAGCTGCAGCCTTTACTTAAGTAAAGACTCTGAATACTTCTCCCACCGCTGGTGATAAGAAGTAATGCCAGGGAGAAAGATCATGTTTACTGTCCTAATAAACTATCAAACTAAGCAAATAATGTCTTGTGTAAGTGAGAGAAATATGTCATGATTTCTGGGCTATTCTTGAACATATTTTAATTGCTACCAAACAACTTGTCAAAACTTGAGGCATTTCTTTTTACTATGCTCTGTTGATAAGTATCACTTGCAGCTTCCTATACAAAACAAATCAACAAATTGACGTGAATTCTGTGAACTATGACATCATCAGTGTGCAAATGCCTGCAACAGGAAAAGAGAGGCGATGATTGCAGCACCAAGAAGAGTTTTTATGAGCGCAGGATGTCAGCTTACATGTGATGGAAGCATTTTTTATTTATTTATTTTTTTGTGAGTGGGAGACACTATAATACTCCAAGTTTGCATCTTTATATTGATAGTATGAATACATTGGGGACTGATTTGTCCGTTATCAGTGTATTAGTTTCTTACAGATTCATATACAAAATAGACTGTTACTGTAAAAATGGTGCTGCATTTGAGTGCACATCAGTATGGCCTGTAGGTATTGACCTGCGGTGTAGAGTTCAGCAAAGCACATAAAGCTGCTTTGAAACAATAAGATTCCATCCATCCATTATCTATACACCGCTTAATCCTCACTAGGGTCGCGGGGGGGCTGGAGCCTATCCCAGCTGACTTAGGGCGAAGGCAGGGGACACCCTGGACAGGTCACCAGCCTATCACAGGGCTACACTTAGAGACAGACAACCAAGCACACTCACATTCACACCTACGGACAATTTAGAATCAACAATTAACCTCAACATGTTTTTGGACTGTGTGGGAGGAAGCCGGAGAACCCGGAGAGAACCCACACTGCACGGGGAGAACATGCAAACTCCACGCAGAAAGATTCCGGTGCCCCCACCGGGATGCGAACCGGCAACCTTCTTGCTGCGAGGCAACAGTGCTCAATACGATTCCACCTAATTTAAGTTTTAGCTCATTTATTCTTTGTTTTTGTTGAGTATCTTAACAAACTGATCACAAAAAGTATGTCTAGTATGAAGAAGAACATGTGTATACATATATAAGATAGCCCAGATAGATGACAGTTTAAGGATGATTATTTTTGTAAAATAGTACATCTTCATGAGAATACAATTCATAATACTACAGTAAAAACATTAACCTACCTGTATTTAATGTCTGCTGTGTCCACCAGTCAGTAGTACTATCAGAAGCCCACAAGGGTGCAGTGTTGGCTCAACATTTGAACAACGGGAGTTTGCGTTAGGGTAAGTTGTGCTTCTGAGACCTCCCACACTTTTGGATATGTTCCCTACTCACTGGTTTTTAGGATATCTATTATTCAAAAATTGATGGACATTTTATGGTTGAACAAATGACAGCACTGCGTCTAGGGGGTTTGTAAAGGGAAGCTGGTTTATCCCTACCTCAAGGAAAAATAAAAACAGAGAAATATTTTTACTTTCAGGTCAAAAGCTAGACAGGTTCAGTGCCAACAAGATTGCATAAAGTCTTTAGGAAGCTGTCCTTTTAGTCCTTGAATTCAATTAGACGAGATAGAGCGGGGTTCGGGGAGCACACCAAACCTTAAAAGCAAACTTTAAAAGCCTTTCCTTTGTGAGTACGTCTGTTATCAGAACAGATTTGGGAGCAGCGGATTGGCCCGGAATAGTGCTGTGCTGTCACCTCTAATTATGCTATCATAAGGTCTCCCTTTCAACAAGGATAACCTTGCTTTTATTTGGCCATCTCAAAATTAGTATTGATGATAGACAGTGGAGGACACAAACAGCTCACTCCAACATTACTGGTAGAAATTCTGTGCATTGAATCAAATGTTTACATCCCACAGATCCTCATTACATCTGGCACTCTGTGGATTAAGTGGAGAATGCAAATGTGGCTGCTGTGAGCTACGTCGCAGTTTGAGGTTTCATTGTTGAGGAACAACATATTGATTTGCCATTTAAACGTCCCATAAACGAAAATGGCAGGGGAAGGTCGACTGACTTCTTCCAAACCTGTGCAAGCCACCGGTGATGTGTGTGGCCCCACAGCCGCACAATCTGACCACCGATGACCGGATTAATCTGCGAGCACAGGCCCACCTACTTACCATCCAAGCCACCTGCTGTTCATCTATGTCAACGTCTATGTGTGGCTGTTGACAAATTCCTAAATTCACAGTGTAGAATATTGCAACTGGGAGCAATAAAGTGTCACAATCTACCTGAACTCGCTGAGTGTGCAACGAGGTCAGGGACTTTGTTAATGTAATGGTTCCTCAGGAAAGGTCAAGGTTCCAGTCTGGCAAACATTGTAATTCATTTTGGAGGTTTTAGGGCAACAAGATTGGAGGTGGTGCTGGATAATCAACATGAGTAGGTGTGGGGGGAACAACACATGTGGCCTTTCTTTTTCTGTTGTTTTGTTTGGTTATGGAGTTGTGACACGATTTCTAGAAACTCTAAAAAAAACATAAAAAATGATTAAAAACAGCAAATTGTTGCCTTACAAAAGATAAAATAAAAAATAAAATCTGTGAGTCTGCTGCTCCTACATGCGGTATGTTTACTCAGAACAGTTCATACATGAAGATGAATTTGACTAATGTGTTGAACTACTAGCCTGTATTTAATTACTATAAAATAATATTAGAATTGTTTGGCTCTTTTGTCCTCGTGCCCATATTTGGATAAACCTGTAAGTATGTGGGTGCTTGTAGTGTTTTTATGTTTGATCCCCTGGGGATAGTGAGGGTCATGTGTATCTGATACTGTGCTTTGAAACAGATTTTGTGGTTCCGGGACTTACAGGTTTGGGAAAAACTCTATCAATGAATGAGTGAGTCAGGGTAGTGACTGCCTTACTGTTCTTCTATAAGTG